GCATTCCATGATGCACACCTTCCCAACAGGATCGCTGAAGACAAATGTGTGCATAAGCAAATGTGGTGAAGAAAGTGATGGTGCCCAGCTATCAAAAGCTATAGCATCTGGGGTCTTAAAGGCTTGCAGATAAACAAGCAGCCATCTAGCTTAGAAGCATCAAAGCCCACATGGAAGAAGCACACCAGCCTGTGTAACCACGAGGTGTAGAAGGGACCACGTATCAGGCATCAAAGAACAAAAAATCATATCAGTGGGTGCCCACCTTCCCGATATGATCACTGAAGACAAATGTGTGCATAAGCAAATGTGAAGAAAACTGATGGTGTCCGGCTACCAAAAGATATAACGTCTGGGGTCTTAAAGGCTTTGGACAAGCGGCCATCTAGCTCAGAAGCAACAAAGCCCACATAGAAGAAGCACACCAGCCTGTGTGACCACGATTTGTCAAAGGGATCAGGTATCAGGCATCAAAGAACAAAATATCATACATTGTAAATGAGGGTAAGTGCAGAGTGGAGAATCAAAGCCCATCGGTCGGCAACTGGACACCCCCTTACTGAAGGGTAATGGGGAGGAGATGAGCCAGTCAGGGTGCAGTGTAGCAACGATGAAACATACAACTTTCCTCTAGTTCTTAAATGCTTCCTCCCCACCACTATCATGATCCCAATTCTACCTTACAATCTGGCTAGACCAGAGGATGTACACTGGTACAGATAGGAACTGCAAACACAGAGAATCCAGGACAGATGATCCCTTCAGGACCAGTGGTGAGAGTGGCCATACCGGGAGGGTGAAGGAAGGGTAGAGTAGAGAGGGCGAACTTATCACAGGGATCTACTTATAACCTCCTCCCTGGGGGATGGGCAACAGACAAGTGGGTGAAGGGAGATGTCGGACATTGTAAGATATGACAAAATAATTAATAAATTATCAAGGGTTCACGAGGGAGGAGGGAGCGGGTAAGGAGGGGGAAAAGTGAGGAGCTGATGTCAAGAAATGATTTTTAAAAATTCATTTTATTGGGGTCTCGTACAACGCTTAGCACAATCCATACATCCATCCACGGTATAAAGCACATTTGTACCTATGTTGCCATCATCATTTTCAAAACATTTTCTTTCTACTTGAGCCCTTGGTATCAGCTCATTCCGCCCGCCCCCCCCTCACTGCCCATCTTCCCTCATGAACCCTTGATAATTTATAATTATTTTTTTTCATGTCTTACACTGTCCGATATCTCCCTTCACCCACTTTTCTATTATTCATCCCTCTGGGAGGGATTATATGTAGATCATTGTGATTGGTTCTCCCTTTCTACCCTACCTTTCTTCCACCCTCCTGGTATCACTACTCTCATCACTGGTCCTGAGGGGTTTATCTGTCCTGGATTCCCTGTGTTTCCAGCTCTTATCTGTACCACCCTACATGATCTGGTCTAGCCAAATTTTTAAGGTAGAATTGGGGTCATGATAGTTGGGGGAGGAAGCATTAAAGAACTAGAAGAAAGCTGTATGTTTCATCGGTGCTATATTGTCCCCTGACTGGCTCATCTCTTCCTTGTGACCCTTCTGTGAGGGGATGTCTAATTGTCTACAGATGGGTTTGGGGGTCTCCATTCGGCCCTCCCCCTCATTCACATCGATATGATTTTTTGGTCTAGGTGTTTGATACCTGGTACTTGATCCCATCCACACCTCATGGTCACACAGGCTGGTGTGCTTCTTCCATGTGGGCTTTGTTGCTTCTCAGCTAAATAGTTGCTTGTGGTGGTTTCTAATTTGGTGTCAATTTGAGGATTAAGAGTGCAGGGGTGGTGTCTAGACTGCCAATCAGGATATAGCCAATGAGGCCTCTGTGTGGGCATGACCTTTTCCTGAGGATTCTGGGAATGGCTGTATTCCCTCCTTGGAGGCAGGAGACACACTGTCTTTGCTCACTCCCTGCGAGAAATCCCTGTGGAGAAGACACATGGAGAGAGGCTGATGGAGCCAGACCTCTGAAGCTGGAGAAGCCACATGGAGACTCCTGTCAGCACCGAGATGCTCACATCACTGGATCCACAAGGCTTCCCACCGTCTGGCCTGTGATCTTCCTGCATTCCGAGTCATTGCATGTGTTTCATGAGTCTGAAGAGGACTTTATCGATTGGTATCGGACATATGGGTGAATATTGGACTTATGGACTTGATCTGGACTGGGCTGGGATGGTTATTTAATATTCAACTGCACTTGTATATAAAACTCTTTCTTGTACACAGATGAGTGTCTCTGGATTTCTCTAGTCCACCCAGACTAACACACCACTTGTTTATCTTCAGGCCTTTAAGACCCCAGGTGCTATAGTTGACCTTTGTTTTTTAAGCTTCAAAGTGGCGTCGCTGACCGTCCACTTCTTCTCAGGTCTCGGCACTCCTGTCTTTGCTCTCCTTCGTGAGCATTGACCTGGTTGGTGTCCGGTTGGTTTTTCTGTCCATCTCTTTTCATTCTCTCACCTCGGTCTCTTGAGTTTTGTTAGGTTTCCTAGGATATCATAAGAGAAGTGCTGACAGCAGGGTTTTCAGATAGTTTAAGTATTTTTCTACCATCAGCCTTCTCTCCACTGGCAGGTTTGAGCCACAGTTGAGGATTAGAAGACAGGCTTCGGGGGTTCTAGTCCTGTCAGTCTCCAACTGTGCACCAAGAAAATGAGATTCCTTATTTCCTTGCTTTTCAGTCTCGTAAATAAAATGTGCCCTGCTTGCCCCAGCATGGGTTGAAACATGGGTGAATAACGGTCACTTTGCAAACTAGTATGGTACTCACATGAAGAGGTGGCTGTCTGTCTTAACTAAGACCATTAGAGGCAGCACCCAGGCAGAGGGAGGCATGAACTGATTACCGTCTGGCTCTCCCCTACAAATCCAACAAGGAAAAAGTGCTTGGCTTTGAGACAATATGAACCGGGGAGCAGAAGACAGCAACAGGGGATTACAGACATGAATATGGTAGCAAAATCCTTCTCCTACCACTCCTACCCCGTGATCCAGGGAAGGGCGATGGTTACATTTTCCTGCCATTTGCTGCTCTTGGAAGAAGATAAGGGTAGAGTCCAACCTATGAATCAGGTCACAACGTAAGGACGGCTCCTTGGGCCTGTGGCCTATTTATAAGAGACTGTGGAGACCTGGTTTCTTTCTCTCTTGCCCCTCTCATTTCCTGCTTCGGGGGTCCGTAGCCCTTGTGGTCTGCTGACCTTGCAAGCTGTCGGCGCTCTATCATGTTCCTGTTGACCTTGGATCCATGCAACTCTGCACCCACTGACCTGTGCAAATGGTTGCACAACTTGAAAAATGTAATCCATGTCATGGCACTGTATGAGAGACTCTGGAACATTCTATTATCTTTTAATTCCATTTTCCTTAACAAAAAAAACTCTACCATGTATACTTATCAACAACAAAAATAAATTCTATTTACTTTTTTAAAAAAAGGTTGTTCTAGACAGTATAGGATAAGAAGGATAAGAGAAATAGTTTGGATTTTGAAGCTAGTGGAATCTAGATCCACTCACCCCTAGCTGTGTGAACTTGCCCTTGTTCTTCAAAAATCCTAAAGCAAACCACTGTCATAGTGTTGATGACAATGAGCCTATGTAGGGTTCCATGGCTATAAATCTATGTAGGAGCTGATGGTCTCATCTCTCTCCAGCAGTCTCTGGTTAGTGAGTTCAAATCATTGACCTTGCTGCTAGCAGCCCAACATGACAGCATCACTTGTTGCTTAACCTTGGTAAAATTTCATCTATCTTACAGATAATATATGCAAAGCACATTATATGGGCTCAGCAATTTTTCTAATTAAATGAGATACGGTAATTGACAAATCTAAGAAGCATCAACTCTTCCATTAAAGGAAGTAGCACCTCCCCTACCTGGACTCAGTTACAATGCTTAGAAAGTCCAAAACCAGTTCCCCAAGGAAGGAACGCCCGCCCCCCCCACGCCCCCGTGCAGGAGGCTGAATTCCGACTCATCGTGATCCTAGAGGATTTGGTCGAATCGTCCCTGCGGTTTCCGAGACTGTAACTCTTTATGGGAGTGGAAAGCTTCGTCTTTCTCTTGCAGAGCGGCAGGCGGTTTCGAACTGCTGACCTTATGGCTCGCAGCCCAACGCGTACCAACAGGGCCCGTGGGAGGGGGAAGCCTAGAGGAAATTCGTCGGCTTGTCAACCTTTTCCTAGCATCCCCACCACCATGGTGAAGCAGAACGTACCCGGACACACGAGCCCAAGGGCGACCCTACAGGAAGAGGAGAGCGGCTCCCGACGGCTTTGGAGACTGGAGGTCGCTGCGTGTGACCGCGGCCGCCATCGCTTATCCCACAGCGCCACCAGGCTCCTTAATCCACCCAGGGACCCTGCATTTGGTAAGAAAGGCCGAAATGACTGGGGAATAAGCGGACCCGGACCGCTCCGCGGTCCAGTTCCGCTTTCCGACCGTCCAGTTCCGCCTTCCCGGGGCACTTCCTATTGCAACCACGAGGGGGCGCCCTTCGCGCCCCTCCCCGGGGAGGAGTCCTCGTTTGCGCACGCGCGACTTGGTCCGGCCGCCTCCTCCGCCCCTCCCTCTTTTCCTCCCCCACCTACGCGAGGAAACGTTCTTGCGGCGTCTTGAATTCATTTCTGACGTACGGGGGCGCCTGGGAGCGGAGCGGAAGTGCAGGGCGTTTCGTGCGTGAGTGGCAGCGGCGTGAGAGAAGGAAAAGCCAGCTCCGAAGCGTGTCGGCTCCTGTGGGGGGAGGGGGGGGCCCCGGTGAAACAGGAAGCAGAGGTGTGCGCCCGGTGGGCGGGGCCTTGGCTGGCGGAGGGCGTTGCGATTGGTCCTCGGATGTGGCGACGCCATCGATTGGCCCCTGCGTGGCGACCGTTGGCGTTCAAACGTGGCGGGTGTGCAGCCGAGCTGGCGGACGCCTGAGACCGTGTCGCTGGCGTTCTGCGTCGCGAGCGGGCGAGCCAAGCTGGGTTCGGGCGGCCTGCCCTCTTCCATTGTGTGAGACGGAGCCGGACATGGAGCCGCACGTGAGTCGGGGCTGGCGGTGCGCGCCCTCCCGGCCGCGGGAGCGGCGGCAAACGTCCGTGCTCGGCCGCGGCGGCGGGGAGGGGCGTGCGGATGGGGGGGAGCAGCTCCGAAGCTCGAGGGCGCCGTCCGTCCGTCCGTCCGTCTGTCTGTCTGTCTTGGATCATGGAAGCCCCTGAGCCCGTCCTGCTGTCCAGAGCTCCCATTTCAAATGCTCAGGCCTGTCGGACGCGTCTCCGTCCGCCCCCTGGTCCCCACGGTTGCAGCGTGGACGCTGGGTGAGATGAAGGGGCAGGGTTCTGAGGGAACGGGGCCAGGCCACGCTCCTGCCGTTTTGGTGATCTCTCGTGCCACTCGGCCGCTTTCGGTGTCCGAAGGGGAGGGTGGAAGCGGAGGACTTCTGTCTGAAGGACTCGGGATTCTCCGCCCTGAGTTCTGCAGACAGACATCCCTTGCCCCAGGGGCTGGTGGATAGCTCCTTCTTTTATCGTTGCCCCCCTGCACCCCGGTCGCCTCTGGAGCCAGATCAGGTGCTCCCTGAATCCTCTGTTCACTCGTATTTCATGATTAGTTCGGCCCAAGGTAAAGAAGCGCGAAGGTGAGGAGTGGATTTAGGAACACTGGCGACCTCGGGAACGGGTTGAGTAGCGTTGTGCTGTGTGCAGCCCAATCGGTTCCCGTTCATGCTACTCTGGGATAGAGTAGCATTGCCCCTCGGGATTTCCTAGGCTGTGGTCTAGGCAGGAGTCCTGGTGATTGGCGTGGGTAAGCGCAGTTGTTCAGACCCACCAGCAACCCTTCCGGGGCAAGCTGTGGCCGTCTGTGTCCGATCACAACCTGGGGAGCTCGGTGGGGCAGTTCTCTCCCGTCTTGTGGGAATCGCTTTGACGGCAGTGGGTTTGGTCTCAGCGTGTGGGTCATCTCAGACACAGATTGCCAGGTCTTTTCTTCCGCCGGATGGTTCAGACCAGGCGCTTTGGGTCAGCAGCCCAGCAGCTTGACCAGTAAGTATATCACAGGGCTTCTTTGGGGTAGAGGGATGGCTTTGAAAGCCTGGGTTTAGGAGATAAACCCGAAACAAATATAAATCAAACCCACTACCATGGTGTTGATTCCAAGTCATAGCGACCCTATAGCCAGAGCAGGACCGCTCCCCAGGGTTTCTGAGACTACAGATCTTTAGGGGAACAGACAGCCTAGTCTTTCTCCCGTGGAACGACTGGCCTTACAGTTAGCAGCCCAATGTGCAGCCAACTACGTCACCAGGCTCACAGCCTAGTCTTTCTCCCGTGGAACGACTGGCCTTACAGTTAGCAGCCCAATGTGCAGCCAACTACGTCACCAGGCTCACAGCCTAGTCTTTCTCCCGTGGAACGACTGGCCTTACAGTTAGCAGCCCAATGTGCAGCCAACTACGTCACCAGGCTCCCTCCCTTAGACATACACTCTATAGATTCCACCTTTGAGGAGTTTTGCTGCACAAGGCCGCCGAGAAACAGAATCGCAGTGGGAAGAAGTAGGAAACCCAAACTAAAAATGAAACAAAAGCTATTGCTGTCAACTCGGTTCCACCTCAGAGCAACCCTATAGGACCCACGGCCAGGGCCGGTGGGGCCAAAAGAAGGGCTTTTTGTTGTTGCTGAGTGCCGCTACGTTGGTTCCAACTCACAGTGACCCAGTGTACAACCCAATGAAACGCCGCCGGGCCCCACGGCATCTTCACAACTGTGGTGATGTTTGAGCGCATGGTGGCAGCCACTGTGTCAGTCCATGGCATGGGACCTTCCTCTTTTCCCACTGCCCTTCTACTTCACCAAGCATGTCGTCTTCCCAGGGACTGGTCTCTCCTGATAACATGTCCAGAGTAGGTGCGGTGAAGAAGCCATCCTCGATGCTAAGGAACATGCGGCTGTACTTCTTCAAAGGCAGATCCGCTTGTTCTTCTGGCAGTCCGTGATACTCTCAGTTTTCTCTGCTAGCGCCATCATTCAGGTGCGTTCAGTCTCCCGTATTCATTGTCCAACTTTCATGTGCATAAGAGGTCAGTTATACATTAGTCCTCAAGTGACATCTTTGCCCTCCAACCCGTTGTGCAGCACGTTTATCCAATCTAAGCATGGGCCTTTTAGGTAGCAGGAAATAATAGCATGCGTTATATGTGGATGCAGGGGTCCAGGAGAGAATGCCAGTCAATGGTTGGTGTTGAGAGGGGCAAATTTGTAATGTTACTGAGCGGGTGAGGGGGTGAGAGCTGATGAATGAGTGGAAGGTACCCTTAGGAGCAAGCTATCCATTTGGGATCTTGGAGTGAAATGGACATAGAGGGGTTGGATTCATTGCTTTGAATGGAAGACCTTCTGTTTCTCAAGGTGGAAAAGGTGGAGAGGTCATTATGTCTAGCTTTATGGTTGGAAAAAACAGGAATATTGCACTTGTGGAGTTGAATAAATAAACCTTGGAAACATTCACTGGACCCCACATAAACTCAGGCGGAGACCTTTAGTAAATCCACGGAAGTAGTACAGAGAGGAGAAAGGGCATGGGTTATAAACAAAAATATTTGGCATTTGACCTGGAAGTCCTTAAGAAAATGTGCTTTTCAGGCTACCTTTGATTAAACTAAGTTAAAATCTGCATTCTTTGTGTCCATTTCTGCAGGTAACAGAAAAGTATACTGCCCCTTTTATTTATTTATTTATTTATTACCTTTTCATTTGTGTAGAAGTCAAGGGTGTGAATATATCACAGTATGTTTAAGTACTCAGTACCCCCACTGGTGGATATGTAACTTCATTCCTTCCAAAATGTGTGTTGATTCCTCCCATGTGATAGACATTGCCCTAGACCCTCTGGTTATAGAGTTGTGAACAAGAGCACTGTGTCCTCGCGGCACTCGTTCTAGTAGAGGACAGACAATAAGCAATAAGTTCTAAAACATCTTTTGTAAACCACGGTGGGTTAATAGAAGGTAGCAGGTGGCTGAACATTGTCTCTATAATGTTGCTTTAAGAACCTCCGTGAACAAAGCTGTTTGTGCCACTGGTAGCTCAAACTTACCTCCCCAAAATTGAATGTAGCATCTCTTCAAAACCAGCCCTTCGGATTCTCAGAATCTCCATATCATTTCTAACAACTGCTTGTGAACCTACTAGGATCTTTTTTAAAAGTTTAAGATAAATCAAGTCTGTCTTGTGATCTTGGTCAGCCAGGAATCCATCCTTCTCCCTCTGCCTGCCTGTCCTCAGCATTCTTTCCCCTTGGCCAGCTCCCCATTCGAACAATTCTTGATCGCTACATAGTCCATGTGCTCTTCATCCTACTTCCTGGTCTTATTTAGGCCCACCTAGGTGACTCTGTGGGTTAGCTATGAGCCTGAGGGAGACTGGAAAGATTTAAAGTCTCAGAAATCTTATAATTGTGTTGAAATCTACTTGATAGCTGTGGGTTTGGGTGTGTCCTCTCCGATGGATTTTGGCTTAGTCCCCATTTCTTAGAACAGTTCCTCTCAACCCAGTTCCAGGAGAATTAAGCTCTAATACCCCATAGCATCCTGAATGCTAAGAGCCATGTATATCTCTGAGAGGATTGACTAGATTATTTTCGGTAGGATTTAATTTCTTGCATTATCCCAGTTTGGAAAAGCTGCCCTAGAAAATAAGCTCTGGGAAGGAAAGAACTTTGGTAGCATTCATTATTCTTCCCTCAGTGCCTAGAACATCTGCCGTAGGCTAGGGCATCAACAAGCCTGTGTTGATGGAAGGAATGGTGTGGTTTTCTGCCCGGGGGGTGCGCTGTTGAGTTGGCTCTGACTCATAGCAACCCGATGTATACAACAAAATGTTGCCCAGTTCTACACCTCAAGCCTCCTTTTCTGCCTTCAGTCATTCTCTGTATCGCTCACAGTTCGCTGTTGCTGCTTTATTGTGGTAATAGCACAACAAGCAATTCAACATCTTTTCCATGGACAGTTCAGTGGCTCTGATTATGTTTATCATGTTGTGCAACCTGTCCATTTCCAAATCATTCCATTAGCCAATTCATTAAAACTCAGTACCCCCTAAGCAATGACTCCTCATTTCCTTCTCCCTCCTAGCCCAGGTTACCACTAACAATGCATTTTATATTTTCAATACAAATCCAGTCATGTCATCCCCCTGATTAAAACACATCAAGGTCCCTCCTGCCTTCCACAAACACCAGACACCCTATCATGGCGTACTGGCTGCCACGATTCCTTTCTGTCCCTGTCGTGAGCTGCTTATCGCGGTGCACATCCATGCATTCAACTGAATAGAATGTGTTGTTGCGCCCTGCTTTCTGTCTGCATGTGCCTTGTTGGCCCCCAAGCCCTTCAAGCCCTCTCTTCATATCCTCAAGAAGCAGGCTAAAAATACCTTTCAGAAGTGTTCTCCGACCCTCCCCATCTGAACTGTGGACTCCTTTTATAACAATACACAAAAGCGTTTATCACCTCTTTGATTGTTTTTCTTCCTATGAATATCTTAAGGACAAGGACCACATCTTTCTTAGTGTTATTCCAGAACCAAGTTCATCCTGACACATAACCAAACTCAAGGTGCTAACTCACTGCTATCAAGTCCATTCCAACGCCTAAGGACCCTGTAGGCCACAGCAGAACTGCCCCCCGTGGGTTTCTGGGGCTTTAAATCTCCAGGGCAGCAAAAAGCCTCATCTTTTCCCTGCAAAGTGACTGGTGGTGTAGGTTGTTGGCCTTGTGCCTAACTCGTAACCCACTGTGTCACCAGGGCTCCTTTGGCACAAAACAGACACGCAACTTCGTAAATACTGAATGAGTAAAGCAAGCTGAAGGGCAGGAAGAGACCGGCTTTGGAATGAAGAGTTACTGGGAACCAAGATAGACATAACATAGGCCGAGTGCCCAGGCACTGAATCGGGCTGCATAATGGAGATGGTCCTTTCCCCCATGCCTGAGCTTTGGTGGTCTCCAAACTAGTCACTTCGTAGCTCTCTCCACACACGTTAGCCTACGTACAGCTCCGTCTGGGTATTCACATCCCATTACCGACCTGTGATGTGTAGATGGCACAGCCATGCTCGCCGAGTGAAGAGGACTTGAAGCGCTCACTCACTGACGAAGAGCAAAGGCACTTGGATTACATCTCAATATCAAGGAAAAATCTTCGCAACTGGACCTAACAACAACATCGGCAGTGGAGAAAAGATGGACGTTGTCAAGGGTTTCCTCTTACTTGGATTCCGTACCTATGGAAGCTGAAGCCAGCAAATGAGTGATGCATTGGGAAACTGCGAGCCATCTCGAAAGTGTTAAGAAGCAAAGACGTCACTTCGTGGACCAAGGTGCCCTTGACTTAGCCGTGGTGTTTCCAGTCACCGCATACATACGTGGGTGGAAGCTGGAGGTGAAGACCGACTCCTGAAGATGCGCTTGAGTCACGGTGTTGGCGAGGACACTGAAAGTGCCATGGGCCAGGAGAACCTACAAATAGAGACGGTGGGACCTCGTGTCGCGCGCTTTGGCCATGGGATCGAGCGGGGCCAGGCCCTGGGGAAGAACGCTGGCTGCGTGGTACAGCAGGAGGGCAATGAAAAGAAGCCAGCCCGCAGGAAGATGACTTGACACAGTGGCAGCAGCGGTGCCTTAAACATAGCAGTGATGCCATAGGCCAGTGGTTCTCCCTCTTCCTCGTGCCGCCACCCTTTAACCCAGCTCCTCGTGTGGTGACCCCCAACCATCACATTATTTTTGTTGCTAAATGTTGTCTTAAAGCATGGTGTAGCATGGGTAACAGTCTTCACGCCGGGTATTCGTATGTGGGTGGACCTGCCTGGAGATGGATAGAGGAGCAGTGTCTTGGTTCCTAAGACCATTGGGAATATGTGTTTTCTGATGGTCTTAGGCCTCCCCTGTGAAAGGGTTGTTCGACCCCCAAAGGGGATCGGGCCACAGGTTGAGAACTGCTGTCCTAGGTAGTGTTTCAATCTGTTATACATAGGGTCACTTTCCACTGGAACCAGACCCAACAGCCCCTAGGAACTGAAACAAAGAGCATTCTTCTGCATTATAGACTCTGTATAGTTTTTATGTGATTAGTCAGAAACTATCTGGCACTGCCTGGCATGCAGATGTAAAGCCCAAATTTTCCGCAGCCTGACGTCAAAGCCCTACTAGACACGGGTCCAGTTATCAAAAACATAGCTTCTGATTACATGGAACTGTGTGTGACCTCCTCCCTGGGGGACAGACAACC